GCCCCTCCACGCCGGCGCGGGAGGCCGCGGGGAGGCCGCGGGGCCGGTGGGGCCCCGGCCTGGGCCTGGCAGGGCTGGAGTGGCGCGCTGGCCGGGCATTCGGCGGCCGCGCCCACACCCGGCGCGGCCCGCGGACCCCCCGCCCCAGCCCGCGCGTTGGGGGAGGGCTCCGACCCCCCGGGCGGGCGGAGGCCGGCAGCGCGGAGCAGGCGGGCTGGGGAGGACACGCGCGAGTCCTCGGGAGGTGCCCGCCGCCGGCTAGGCCTGAGGGGCGGGGGTTGGGCCGTGGCCGCTCCCGGGGACACACCCATCCAGGAGGGGCTGTCACCGCCACGGCCTCTGCAGGAGACCCAAGCCCGATAAGCCCCCTGGAGGGATGGAAGCGGCTTGGCCGGGCGCCCCGTGAGCTTGCTCAGTGACCTTGGGGGCCTCGTCTGGGTCCTCCCTCTCTGCAAATGGAGGCTCCGGTGGGCTGCTGTGCCGACTTCTACTGCTGGTAGTCTGGTAGGGGAACCTATCGCTAGGGTTGGGCAGGGTCTGGGCTGCCCCATGTGGCCACAGAGGTGGGAAAGGGGCGGGCCTTCGGTGGAGGACTAGGTGGGTAGCGAGAAGGGGAGGTGTGCAGGAGGATCAGGCCCCTGGCTACACCTGTATGGTGAGACCTTGGTACTTAGTTTGGTTCAACAAGTGTTGGCAGGTCTGGGGAGCTGGCCAGCAGGGTGAGGGGCTGGCCTGGGGGAGCTGGGATGGCCCCACGGATACAGCTGCTCCAGGAGCTAAATCCTGGAGGGTAGGGCAGCCCAATCCATGGACACACAGTGAGGATCCTAGTAGTCAAGGAAGGAAGGCTTTTTGGAGGAGACAAAACCCTGGAAGGCCTTCAATAACAGGGGTGTGGGAGGAAACGGGCTTAGATAAATGTCTCCTCCTTCTCTATGTAGGTTCCTTGAATTTGGGACTTTTGTGGAGAGTTTCTAACAGTTTCCAAACTTTTTTTCTGTTCTTGTTTTCCTGCCTTGTCTCCATGGAGGGTGTCTTGTCATCCTCAGCTGTGAGTGTACGCAGTGCTGTATCCTAGGATGCAGGGCCCGGGTGGAAATAAGGGTCTGGGATGATGGGGGGGAGTGGTTTATGTTGATGAGGCTGCTTACATGACCCTCTGTGACTTCTGACCTGGAATCGGGTGCCTGGAAGTGGGCAGAGTGAGTGTCAGTGACTGACAGGCTGGGAAGAGAAGAAAGGAAAGTGTGTGGATCTGGGGGAGTGAGCCCAGCACCCAGCCGCTTGGGGAGGCAGAAGGCACCTGGTGCCCGAGTGACTGAAGTCTGTTTTCCAGAATGATTCTGTTCTGGATTCTGGGTTGGGGTATGTGGGGTGTCTGGCTGTGCTAAGCTACGGTTCCATCTGCAGGGTGACTGCTGACCTCCAGGGCTGCTGAGCCCTTCCCTTCTCTGGTCACCAGCCTCTTTGAAGGCAGACACTCTCAGTGCTTCTGGCGTGGGTTCCATTTGGAAGGACCCTGAAGAGCGGTCAGTCTGTTCTGGAATGTGGCAGTGGGGCCAGAATACTGAGGTGTTTAGTTTTGTTTTGTTTTAGTGAGTTCTAGGCCCAGTGTGGGGCTTGAAGTCACGCCCCGGAGGTCAGGAGTCGCATGCTCTACTGTCTGAGCCAGCCAGGAGCCCCTGAGTTTTTAAAATCTCATGTTCATCCCATTGATTACAGATTTTAGAGTCACTTCCTTAATAAATATTTGAGTAGCTCTGTGTCGGACACAGGGGGATTCAGGGATGAGCAAAGGGAACTTCCGTCTTCTTGCAGTTGACCGTGTGTTTGGGGAGACAGGCAGTAAGGAGACAATTCTGTAAATATATAAAAGTGAGGTGCTGTGAGGACAGAGTTCGGGGAACTGGGTGAAACGGGGGCCCAGGAGGCTACCTCCAGAGGATCAGTGAAGGAGAAGGGAAGCAAGTTCCAGGGAAAGGGAATAGCATGGGCAAAGGTTTAGAGGTGGGACCAGCACGGGGCCACTTTATTCCAAAGCCCTGGGGTTTTCTTCTGTTGCAAGTCGGTCCTTGGATACGGCAGACTGGCCTGTGGGAGTCTGCTCTGGACGGTGGCCAGGCAGGAGACAGCTCCGCTGGGCTTGGTGTGGTGTCTGGGTTCAGCCTGGATTTGTAGCCTGAGGCCTGGGTGAGGAAAGCCCTCCTCTGGATCCTGAGGTGGGTGGCGCTTAGGAAACCTTTGCTGAGCATTCTCAGTGCCCTCAGTGCTGGGTAGGGCGGCTGCGTCTTCCTGGAGGTGGCTAGAGTAGCACTTGGCACACGTGTTTCTACACTCTGGCGCCTTCACATGGCCAAAGAGCTACGGAGACCAAGGATGTTGGTTTTGGGGAGAAGCTGATGGCTGGGGTGGCCCACTTAGGCAAAGCTCTTCACCTGTGACGTTGGGTTCAGTGACTGAATTCGCAATCCAGTCAGCTAGAGGGGAATGTGAAGGGTGGGACAGAGGTGGCTTCTGGGTGCCCATGCATTCCAGCTCCTGGACCTGGGCCTTGGCCTCTGGGAGGCCCTCATTGATGCTCTGAGTTCCCTGGCTGTTAAAGCGTGGATTGAAAGCAGTAGCTTGGAGCAGTTCAGAGAACGAGTGTATGCTGCGTGATTAATAAAAAAGCGATGGGTTGGGGAATAAGAGCAGTTTTTTCATAGGTACCCTGTGTTCTGAGCTGTTTTCTTGACCCTGCACGTCTTTACGTGGGGTGTCCCTGTCCCGTTGTTGGGGTTCTGTGGCAGATGCTGCCTACTGGTAGAGCCGGTTGAGCGGGGGTGGGCCCAGCTGCCCCATGTGGCCTGACATTGCAGGAACCCTCTGGCGTTCATGCCCTCGCCCCAGGATTTGGGGGTTGCTGTGTTTTGCAGTGGGCTTGGATCACTTTGGAAAGAGCCCTGTTTAGGTCTTAAGCACTGATGGGTCCGATGCTGGGTGGCGGGCTCATTCTTAAGCTTTCACTCAAAAAGGAGCCTCAGAAACTGATTTTTATCAAAACTGTGACCCTGTCCTGCCCTAGGGCCTCCAGCGGGCACCTGGGAGGGAGGAGTGGCCCCTGGGCCCTTAGCCTCCTGTCCATCAGGTCTACAGCCGTTGGCTGTGGGCCATGCAGCAGCTTGGCTGTATCTCTGCCTAGCACCTGGGCTGAGCCAGCTGTGACAGTGGTATGAGTAGGATTCTCTCCTGGGATTCTCTGATCCTTTAAACTTGAAGAGTTGTCACAGGGCATTTTAGATCATCTTTGCCGGTCCAGCGATGAACCAGATCTCCGTGATCTGTTGAACTTTTTCTAGATGCCCTGGATGGAGTGAGGGGCAAGAGAGACGCAGAGGGTAACACACACTCAGGACCTCTTGTGTGCCGCCTCTGGCAGGAGGGATCCTGACCTGCTGGCTTTCCCGGCAGTGGTGAATGAGCCTGCCAGTCTCATTGCACCCCTGCCCAGGCCTCTCCTCTCACACCCCTGCCGGCACAGTGTGAGTGCTGAGAGCTGGGTGAGCATTTTCCCCTGTACGCCAGGTGAGCCGTTCCTCCCAGGCTGCACTCACCCCTTTCAGCCAAATGTGGGCCACTCTCGGCCGTGTTGCCTGGACTCCCTGCTTCTCATGGCCCCTGAGGATAAAGACCTGAGCTAAATCCCTGATTTACTCCAAGACAGCATGGCAGTTCATATGCAGCACATCATTGCTGGCAAGAAAGAGCTGAGGCTCTATGATGGGGTCACGGAGAGGGGCTCTGTGGTTAGTTTTTCTGGGTACAGAATGTCCCAGTTGTGCCACGTGAGCTCATGGGAAGAGCCCCGGTCCTTCCTCAACTCTGGAGCCGTTTCTGTCCAACGGGGGGGGGGGGGGGGGGATGAGTCCTGCCTCCGACGCGGCGGCGTGAGGCCCGTGTGAGGCCCGAGCAAGGCGCGTGAGTGTGCTGCGGGCAGCTCGTCACCGCCGCCCGTCTGTGTTTCAGGCCGAGCTGAGGCTCTCCTCTGGGGAAGATGGCAGCCCTGCGAACCGCTCCGGGCTCACCAGCCACGCAGCCGGCGAAGGCGGAGGATGGGTTGGAATGCGGTCCTGCTCAGGAGGAAGAAGAGGAAGAAGACCAGGGGGAAGAGGTGGAGATAGAGGAGGAGGAGGAAGAGATCCCGGTGGGGGAAGGCCCGGACAAGCAGGTGGCGGGGGACCAGGAGGGGGGGGGGGCGGGCAGGGCACGCGGACCAGGTGGAGGTGGAGTTGGAGGAGGACGGCGATGTGGAGGTGACGGCGGAGGAGCGGAGTCTGACCTTGGGGGCCCGGGAGCGCCGCAGCCACGCTGCTGATGCCAAGTCCCCGGTTCTCCAGCGACAGGGTAAGAGAAAGGAACCGGCTCCCGGGGTAGGAGGCCGCGGGGGGCCTGGGCGGGGCTGGGGCGTCGGGACCCAGGCTCTGAAACGGAGGAGGCTGGAGCTGCTGCCCCTGCTTGCTGTCCGGCCAGAGGTGACCGCGGCCCGATGGGGAAGGCGGGCCCCTAACGGGTCTTCCCCTCAGCCTCGCAGGCTGCCCGGGTTCCAGCCCTGCCTCGGGATGAGGACCTGGAGGAGGAGGAGGACGAGGACGAGGAGGACGAGGAGGAGGAAGAGGAGGAAGAGGAAGACGAGGAGGAGGAAGATGATGACGATTCCCTGACCGCTGGGTCTCAGGTGAGCTGCTCCCTCTCTGGAGCTCAGTTAACCAGGCACCTGCTGTCCTGGAGACCCCTGTGGGCAAAGCAGAGGCTCTGTGGTCCTCAGGGCAAGTTCAGGCTGTGAGCGGGGACGGGGCAGCAAGAAGCGACGGGGGGTCTCTAGCCCCAAGCCCCTGGGACGTGGTTCCACTTGCCCGGGGCCCAGCCCCTCCCAGGCCATCATGTCCTGAGCATGTTGACTGCCCCTCACGTGGCTGCACTACGGCCCCTTACCTGGAGGGCCTGTCACCTGTCCAGGCTTGGGTTTCCTGCCAAGCCCTCTCAGATCGGGCACCAGTGCCCACAGTCGGTTGAGTTGATGCCGCTTATGCACCCAGGTGTGGGCCCTCACATTGCTGATGTGACCACTGGCTTAAGGTGGACAGTGAGGGGGTAGGACACAGCCTCCCTGCACAGCCATGAACTTGAGCTTTCTCATCTCCTGACCTCAGTGTGAGTCGTGGCTCTGCCCCCCGCCCCCCACACGCTGAGCGTTCACCCTCTCTGAGCCTGGGTTCCTAATCTCTGAACGGAAATGGGGTCTTTAGCTTTCAGGGCCACCGCCAGGCTTGCACACCTTGAGTACTGCTGGGCCGATGCAGGCCTGTCAGGGACGGGATGTCGGGCTGTGTCCCCGTGAGCTCCGTGTTGCAGGACCACGGTCAGCCCTTCTTGACGAGCTTTTTCTGTTGCTCGCGTTCTAGGGGCTCCCCCGCCTCTCTCCGAGAGCAGCTTAGGGCAGAGGCCAGGGCTCTGTTTTCCAGGGGCTGGTGACCTTTGAAGATGTGGCTGTGTACTTCTCATTGGAGGAATGGGAAAGGCTGGGCGCAGACCAGCGCGACCTTTACAAGGACGTCATGCAGGAAAACTATGGGATCCTGGTGTCCTTGGGTAAGCCGGGAGGCTGTGTGGTATGATGGCTCCCAGCAGCCTAGCCATTTGAGAGAGTGGCTTCTGAAGCCCCAGCATCTAGGAGAGGGGCGTCCTGGAGCCAGCCCACCTCTTGGGGGAGTCCCAGGGACCGGGGTCTCCGCTGTGGCCCCGCAGTGCCATGGGCCAGGGGGATGTGTTCTGGGAGCCGCCGGTCCAGCTCCGGTCCCTGGGCCGTCTGCCCCGCCGAGGCCTCCGGGGCTGAGGAGTCAGGGGCTAGGGGGACTGAAGGTGTGTGGAGGGGCTGAGCAGGACAGCTCTGGCTCGCAGGGCAAAACTCTAGACTTGTGAATGTGGGATTTCCCAGGGCGGAGGCCGAGAGGTGGGAGGGCTGTCCGGGAAGGGAGAGCGAGGAGCCGGTGGGCATGTCGGGGATGGCACTGTGAGCGGTGAGGGCGGGGCCTGGCCAGCGCAGCCCTGCAGCTGCCGGCTGTTTCTCTCCTGGCCAGGCTACCCAATCCCCAAGCCGGATCTGATCTTCCGGCTGGAGCAAGGGGAGGAGCCCTGGGTCCCAGATAGCCCCCGTCCTGATGAAGGAGACATTGTCACTGGCGTCTACACAGGTGAGTAGGAGATGGAATCTCGTGGGGTTTCTGCTGACGCAGCTCCTCAGGGCTTTGCCAGACTTTGGCCTTGACCTTAGCTCTGTGCTGTGGCCTTGATGCTGGTGGTCTGGGATGTGGAGTGGGCCGCTTGGATAGGGAGGCCAGCACGCGCTAACCTCTGCCTTTGTGCGTTGGCCTCTCCAGGCTGGCGAATCCTTAGAGAACCTATGGGTTCCTCTTAGGAGCCTTGGAAAATGTCCCTGTCCCTGCCTGGGAGCCTCTGATTGTTTTTTGTTTTTTCTAAGTGAGGGCCATTTGTTAAGTGTTTGGCTCAGAGAAATAAGTGCAGGAACTGGGCAGACTCTGGCTGAGAGTGCAGGAACCCGCCTTTCTGGTTCCCACACTTGAACCGGTCCTGTGGCTTCTCCACCCATTGGGCTATCTCTGAGCAAAAGGGTCTGGGGGGCAGGCCTCCGGCCTGGGTGCGCAGCTCTACCCCTTCCAGAAGGGAGATTTTGGAGCGAAGTGTTCAGGGTGGCGAATTTCTCTGGACACCGCTGATGTGGTTCTGTTTCCCCAACTGTCTGAGCTTCGCTTTGCTCACATGGAGAACAAAGAATTTGACCTAAATCCATAATTTCCAAGCCGAGGTCGTGGGACTGTTGGTTCTGTGGAGGTGCTTCACGAGGTCTGTGAGTCAGGCTCAGTGTTTGAGAGAGATCCGTGGAGGGTGTGTCCGCCTTTGGGCTCGAGTGACGTCTCCCCAGTGAGGGCCACTGGATGGCTCATGCCAATCAGGTGCCTGGATAGACTCGGAGCAGCTCATAGACATATTTCAAGATAAAAATACACAAAAACACAGACCGTGTTACTACACCTACGGGTGGTCTCTTCAGAGTGTTTTCCCGTTTACCCTGTATCCTCTCGACAAGCCTGGGCCGTAGCAGGGCAGAGGCGACCAGTTGATCTCGCATATGAGGACTTTGACTTTGAAAGTGGGGACGCCGTGGCTTGCCCAAGGTGGGCTCAGCCCCAGGGCTCACTTGCCATGGTGTTGCAGGATGGCCTTCCGACCCCGGCTCTCCACGTGCTGTGGGGCCCTCTCTGGGAACCGTTCCTGGGCTTCAGACTTGGGTGGGCTCTGACTGGTGAGACCATCGCAGCTGCTTCCGGGATGAGTCTGGGACAAACGTTTCTCAGAGGGGGATCTCAGTGAGAGGTGGGCCCTGTTTATGGGCACAGCTCAGAAAAGCCACCTGTAGATAAAGGGGCCACGGGCCTGCCTTGGCCAGTCTCTCATCATGTGGGCTGGATGTACCCCCATTCTCCATGCTTCTTGGGTCCTGGGGTACAACCTTTTGCAGGCTCCAGTGGGGGTGGTCCTGGGTGGGGTCCGGCAGCACCCTGAGGAGGCTGGCTAGCTGGGCCGGTGAGCCTCGACCACCCACCCCCGTCCCCACCCGTGCCACCTGGTGAGCCCTTGGCTGATACAGGATCCAGGCATAGTCTTAGACATGCTGCTGTCTGCGGGGGTCAGCTCTGGTAGGGCAAACCCATCTAAGGCCTTTCTCTCTTTCTTTTAATTTTTATTTATTTATTTGTGTGCATGTGCTCGTGTGAGAGCGGGGTGAGGGGCAGAGTATCCTCAAGCCGACTCCCCGGCCCAACTCGGGGCTTAATCCCAGGACGCTGAGACCATGACCTGAGCTGAAATCGAGGGTGGGCCGCTGAACCGATTGAGCCCCCCCGGCGCCCCATCCAAGGCCTTTCTTTCTTTCTTTTTTTTTTTTTTTAAAGATTTTATTTATTTGACAGAGACACAGTGAGAGAGGGAACACAAGCAGGGGGAGTGGGAGAGGGAGAAGCAGGCTTCCCGCTGAGCAGGGAGCCCGATGCGGGGACCCCGGGACCATGACCCGAGCCGAAGGCAGACGCCCAACGACTGAGCCACCCAGGCGCCCCTCCAAAGCGTTTCTTAACTATGACTGTAGTCTGTTTGCTAAATGGTCTCCCTCCCCTCTTCTCCCCATACTCATTTCTGTGTGGCTGAGTCCGTCGAGAATTGAGAATTGCTGGGTCTGGCAGGACAGACGCTAACTGTTGTGAGCCTGACAATTTCTGGATTTCTAGATTGTAGTCTGGCAGAACACAAGAGTCTTCCTCTCTTGTGCTTCTTGAAGACTTGGGCCAAAAGGTTTGGACTGTGGCCGGCTTCTTCCACTCAGGCGCCCCATCCCTGTACTGACCTGAAGTCCCCTGCTCTGCCCTTCCAGCTCCGTGCTCCGGCCCCCCAGCCCATGGGCCACCCCCTTCAGCTCACTGCTGCTCGCTCTCCTCACCTCTCCCGACCCCGCCCCCCTTCCTGCCCCCTTCTCCCCCCCCCGCCTTGGTGAACAGCGCCCCCCCCCCCCGTTTGTGATAGCCCCGTGGAGTCGCCTGCCAGACCCCTGCCCTTGCAGGACCCCATTTCCTGCCCACATCTGCACTGCAGCTGGGTCGTGGCTGGAGAAAAGTGTGCCTGCCAGCCGACCACACACCTCCTGAGGACACCGCCACCACCTGGGCCCGGTGGTCTGGCCTTGTGTCCTTGTTGGGTTGGCTCTCTGCTCTCTGCGGTGGACGCTCTTGGCCCCGAGGACCCCACACACCCCTGGTTTCTCAGCTGCCTTCCCGGCTGCTTCTCCACCTGCCCCCACTTGTTCCCGAGACCAGGACGGTCCTGCATCCTCTTCTGTTCTCTCTAGGTGACCTCGGCCAGAGCTTCTGTCCATGCTGCCCATCCGCAGCTGCTTTCTCCAGCTCTCTCCCTGTCTGCTTGTCCGTCCGTATGCTTGGCCTCTCCACTCACTTACCTGATGGGCATTTCAGAGTGAACCTGCACCTTAAGGGGCTTCTCCTAGTCCAGTCCCCTCGTGCAGTGTCCTTGGCACCTGAGTGGGCCTGGCCCGATTAGTCCCTGTCACTCTGCCTTCCTTGCCCCACCCCGTCCCAGGCTCCCAGGAGGCCGGTGGGCCTGTGGCCACAGGCGTCCCCGAGCTGCCTCTGCCTTCCCTCCAGTAGCCTCCCCGTGCACTTGGCGCAGCGTCTGGGCCCTGCTGTGGCTTGAGACCGCTGCCCCTCCAAGCTCATCTCCTGCACCCTTAGCTCTTCAGGCTCGGCCCCACAGACCACCTTAGTCTTCAAGCTCTCGCCTGCCTCGGGGCCTTTGTGCCTACTGTTTCCCCTGCTGGGAGTGCCTTTTGTGTGGCTGGCTCGGCTCTCAGGCCCCACTCGAGTCACGTGTTCTCTGAGCACACAGACTTCAGGAGCACGCCCTCCTGCTTTACTCCAGGATGTTCCCTGCAGTTACAGCCAACAGCGCTGTTTGAAATGGTCCTGCCTAGATGTTTGCTTCCTCATTCCCTGTCTGCTGCCTCCGGCCGCCTCCATAAGAGCTAGCACTGTGTGTTGTCTCCCCCTGTGCTGTCCCCCCGGTACCCGGCACGGGCCTGGCACCCAGCGGGGCCGGCTGCTGATCCCCCTCCTTGGCTGCACTCCTGCCCCTCATGTGAAAGCGAAGGAGGGAAGAGAATTACAGAATGCAGGATCACACCTGCTTAAGATGCCCCAGGAAAGGAGAGAGGGAATTTCAGAGCAGTAAGAGGTAAAACACTAAGGTGGGGGAATCTCAGGGTCGGTGAGCACAGTCAGTGGTTCTGGAGGGGAGGAGGTCAGGAGCAGCTGTGGAATGCAGGCCCGGGACCAGCCTGCAGGTGGTCTTTACCTCACACAGCCCGTGAGCACCTGGGCGGTGCACCTGGGCTGGGCCTGTCTGCCCCACCGGGGTCGGGGGGATAGTAGTCCTTAGCGTGGGCCTTCCCTGCCTTTGGCACACCCCTGAGGGGGCCCTGGGTGTCCCCAAATCCCCCTTTTTTTTGTCTGAGCCAGGGAGAAGGCACTTGGGTCCTGTCTTGCCTCAGAGCCCTGGACACGTGGTGTTGGCAGAAGGGGAAGGAGCCAGGAAACATTCCACGTGAGGAAGGCTCCTGTTGATAGCTGGTCCTTGGTATTATATTCATGGTACAGATGAGGAGACTGAGGCCAGAGAGGGCACCTGCCAGTGATGGGGGGCGGGCCCTGTGCTCATGGGAGGACAGAGCCCAGTACAGAAACCTGGCCCTGTCGCGAGCTGCCGTCTCCCCCACACTTGAGTACAGCCCTGGTTACCAAACTCCTGCTCAGTGGGAAGGAAGGGCAGCTGACCAGCAGTCCTGGAGGCAGGAGCCCACCTGCAGCTTGGGCACCCCAACCCTGTGCATGTCCTCCCCTTCTAACTGTTCCTCGATGGGGGGCTCTCCTCAAACGCACTTCGAGTCTCCGGGTCTGGATGGAGAAGTCAGGAGCAGGTGTTGACTTTACTCTCGGGCCCCAGCAGAGATGGGTTTAGTCAGAGCCGACTCACCATGGGGCCAGGTCAGGGTGGGTTCCCGGACCGGGCAGAAGTTGCTCGGGGGCGGGAGTCGTAGAAAACGGCCTGGTTCTCAGGGCGTTGTGTGTCTGTCGTGCTGAGCAGCCCGCGGTGGGCCTCCCAGCAGCTCGGGGACAGAGGTGCACCAGGCGTGTGGCTCGGGGGCTTTCATCTTCTCCGAGGCCCTGTGGTTAGTGCCTCGGTAGGGCACTTACTGACAAAGGGCCTCTCCTGACAGGGCCACGGGTCAGCCCCTGGGATTGTCATCGGGCCTCAGAGCACGGGTTCCAGCCTAGCTAATCATCACCCAGGGTCATAGTCCTTGGGAGCAAATGTTGCGGGGAGATGAAGCAGCAGCTCCCACTTCCCAGGGTCCTCTTCTCTGCCCTACCCCTGTGGGTTCTGGAAGAAGCAACTGTGTTTGACCCTATAGGCCCCTGTTACAAAATGTCCCCTCACCCACCTTGTAAAAGCATTCTCTGCCCTGGCTGTCGTCTCACAAGGAGACCTGGTAAGTGCTCACTTGGATTCCAGCAAACTCCCTGGGAACCCGGAGTGACCCTTCCATTGGCCGCCCCCACTCCAGGGCCCCACCTCCAGACTCTGGCCCACTTTGGTGACAGAAAGACAAGGGAACAGAACCCAGCCTCAGGGCCCGCTGGTCTTCCTCTGCCTCCCCCTCCAGTGGCCCTGCTCCTCCCGGCGATCTTGGGGTGCAGCCGGCTCTGACTGCCCAGGGACACGGCCGCCCTTACTACTCCTCATTTGGTGTCAGTGGTGCTGTCCACCACCTTGCCGTGTGTTCAGTGGTTTCTCATTCCTGGACAAGAGGCCTGTGTTGGCTCTGGAGGTCCCTCCTGTATCGCTCCTCTCTGCAGAGGTTTGAGGTGGGGGCCGGGCAAGGGCTCCCCTTCCCTGGTGTGCATGGGGGCTTTCCTCTACTCCTAGACCCCAAGGAAGAGGTGTTGTGGGTGAGTCACTGGGACCTGGCCCACCCTTCCCAGTTCTGAGTGGCCAAGGTAATTTGGCCTGCGTGTTGGCTTTGTATCCAGCAGGGGCTGACCCTGGGCTAGGTCCTGGGGTGCACACTAACCCCACTAAGACGCTGAACGTGTTCCTGCGCTTCAATTCCCCCTGCCTTGGGGAGTCTCTAATTCAAACTACTCAAGACCCTCCCCAGAGTCTTGTGGTAAAATTCTTTTTGAGATTCATGGGAAGAACGCCCAGCTGATCTGAGTACCCGCGAACTGCCTGTGCCTCCACCATCCCTTCCTGTTTCATGAGGGTGTTCTGGCCTTCCCAGTGAGGAGCTGGGCCTTCTCTGTGCTCTGCAAGGGGTGGACGCCTCACGCCACCCACTCGTGGCCCCAGGTGGCGGCCGCACGTAAACTGAGCTTAGTTCAGGAAACTTTGGTCTCCTATTTTAACACTTATTTTTACTTTAACAGTGTAATAGTACTAACTGTAGAAAACTGAAAGTATTACAATTCTGAAAAAAATAAAATAACCCATTTCTGTACGCCTTTAAATGATGCGTGTTTTTGTTCACAGCTGAAATCATGCCCGAACAGTTCTGTGTCTGGCTTTATTTGTCCCCGCGCTTTGCTGTGTTCTCCCACGTGACCAAATTCCCTACATGTAGAGTGCCGTACAGAATATAGGACAAGGGCTGAGCCAGGGTGGGCAGCCCTCCTGGGCCCCCACCTTCCCTCGGGGGCAGGACTCGGTGATCCACACTCATCCAGCCAGGTGATGCCTGGCCACAGTTTCGGTGGTGGACCCAGGTGGGGTAGAGGAGGGTTTTCCCACCCTCTAGAACCTTCCAGATGCTAGGATTCTGGGGAGGGCGACAGCATGGTGTGCGACCACTGTGGACCCACACGGGGTGGAGTGTACATGACAAAGTAGGCACACAGGTGCTTTGCGACACCTGGGGCCACTGTGGGTCAGGTGTTTTCCCTTCTCTTCTTTGTGTGACTTAGTGCCTGCTCTGCAAATGGTAGTTCTCTCCTGAGAATGGTGGCAGGCCTATCAGCACTCCATTTTATAAACTAGAAAACCCTCCAGGCCTGACTCTGTACCCACGCTCTGCACTGAACAGAGAGGTCGCTTTGGTGGAGGAGGTAGAGAACTGCAGGACATTTTGGGGGGGGGTGTCCTTGGCCTTCTGTGATAGGAAGGTGCTAGCAGTTCACCCAGTCTTAGCCAGCTTGGGACTGTTTCCCAAATGCACCGCCACTCAGAAAAAGCCAAGCTTTGGGGTGTCTTAGCAGGGAAGCTTGGGCTGTGCCTGAATCACTGCTGGAGACTTGTTAGGATGAGTGCAGAGAGCTGGGGCCCAGTGGCCCCTTAGGTCTCCATGGCTCAAGGCAGCCTTTTCAGGTTCTGCTCTGAGAGTGGGAGGGCGACCCACGACTGCTGGCCAGCCTGAGGCTGGTGGAGAAGAACTCAGAGAGGAAGGGATGCTGAGCAAAACTTAGGTGCTTACAAGGCAGGTCCTCAGCTGCAAGGCCCTGGGGCTGTGCTGGTACTGGAGCCTTGCTTGCCTTGGGCCAAGCGGGGGTGGGGTTCTCTGGAAGACAAGGGGTTTTGGGGAGAACAGCTCAGGAGTCTCTGTTTTTCTGAGTACTGGACCCCTGTTATGGGCTTAGCCCCTGGTCTCCCAGAAACCTACAGGCAAGGTCACCCAACTTCGTAGAGCTTTCCCGTTTCTCAGCACGGTGGCAAGCACTGGAGATCTGGAAGAGGGATTAATTAGTTGAGGCCATTTGAGGACAGTGCCAAGAAGTCAAAGAATTTCGGCCTCCCCTAGGAGGGCCACCCACGCGCATATTTCTCCCGTCTGCCGAGTTCCTCCTGAGGGAGGCCGCGGCTTTACTGCCCCACGTGCGCTGGAACGCGCACAGCCTCTCCCTTCGTGGAATGCAGAGGCACCCTGCGGGTCCAGAGCCTGGGGTTGGAGGCTCGGTGCCGGGGAGCTTGGGGTCCCGCGCAAGCTGTGGTTTCTCTAGGGAGGAGCTTGCAAGGGGCTGCCTCGACCGACTCTCACCTCTCTTCTGGCCTTCCTTTGTCGCCTTCAGGGGCCTGGTTCTGGACCGACGACCTAGACGACCATGAGGAGGACGACGACGAGGACTTCCTGGCGGAGGTGGCCGAGGAAGAGAACGAGCCCCCGGGGCTCTGGTCAGCGGCCTACGGCGTGGGGGACGTTCCTGGGACGTGGGGCCCCGATGACTCGGATTCAGCGCAGACTCCGGAGGGGTGGGGTCCCGACCCCGGGAGCCTCGGGGTCCTGGCCGAGGGGTCCGAGGCGAAGCCCTTCCTGCCGGGCCGGGAGCCTGGCGTGAACCTGCTGGCGCCCTGGGCGTTCCCTGCCACCGTGGCTGCTCCGGCCGGGCGGCCCGAGACCACGTGCGACGTGTGCGGCAAAGTGTTCCCGCACCGGTCCCGGCTGGCCAAGCACCAGCGCTACCACGCGGCCGTCAAGCCCTTCGGCTGCGACGAGTGCGGCAAGGGCTTCGTGTACCGCTCGCACCTGGCCATCCACCAGCGCACGCACACCGGAGAGAAGCCCTTCCCGTGCCCGGACTGCGGCAAGCGCTTCGTCTACAAGTCGCACCTGGTCACGCACCGGCGCATCCACACGGGCGAGCGGCCCTACCGCTGCGCCTTCTGCGGGGCGGGCTTCGGGCGCCGCTCCTACCTGGTCACGCACCAGCGCACGCACACGGGCGAGCGGCCCTACCCGTGCCCGCACTGCGGCCGCAGCTTCAGCCAGAGCTCGGCGCTCGCGCGGCACCAGGCGGTGCACACGGCCGACCGGCCGCACTGCTGCCCCGACTGCGGCCAGGCCTTCCGCTTGCGCGCCGACTTCCAGCGCCACCGGCGCGGCGGCGGTTGCGCGGAGCCCGGCAGCGACGGCCCTCGGCGGGAGCCCTGCGACACGGTGCCCGCGGCGGGGCCCGAGGAGGCCGAGGTCGGGCCGCAGGGGCCCGAGGAGGCCGAGGCCGGCGAGGCGGACGGAGAGGCCGAGGCGAGAGAGGAGGCGGAGGCGGCGGCGGCGGCGGCGGTGGGGCCCAGCCCCGGGCGCAAGGAGGACCCCGAGCCGGACAGGCGGTTCCTCGAGCTGGGCAACGGCCTAGGGGAGGGCGAAGGCCCTTCCTCGCACCCACTCGGCTTCCACTTTCCCGTGCACCCCAAGTCCTGGCTCCACCCGGACGGCTTCCCGATCCTGGGCCTCCCGGACTTCGGGGAGCGGCTGCCGGCCGACGGGCGCCCCCTGCCGGGACCCCTGGGGGGCCGGCTCGCCCTGGTGGAGGGCGCCGGGCTAGCCTGCGACCCTTTCGGCGGCGGCGGGCCGGGGGGCGGCGGCGGCGGCGGGCTGCGCGCGTTCGCGCCGGCCGTCGGGGGGCTGCTGGCCGAGCCGGCGCCCGCCGCGCTAGCTGAGGAGGAAAGCCCGTGGATCTGCTCCGACTGCGGCAAGACGTTCGGGCGCCGCGCGGCGCTGGCCAAGCACCAGCGCTACCACGCGGGCGAGCGGCCGCACCGCTGCGCGGACTGCGGCAAGAGTTTCGTGTACGGCTCGCACCTGGCGCGCCACCGCCGCACGCACACGGGCGAGCGGCCCTTCCCGTGCCCCGAGTGTGGCGCGCGCTTCGCCCGCGGCTCGCACTTGGCGGCGCACGTGCGGGGCCACACGGGCGAGAAGCCCTTCGTGTGCGGCGTGTGCGGCGCGGGCTTCAGCCGGCGCGCGCACCTGACGGCGCACGGGCGCGCGCACACGGGCGAACGGCCGTACGCGTGCGGCGAGTGCGGCCGCCGCTTCGGGCAGAGCGCGGCGCTGACGCGGCACCAGTGGGCGCACGCCGAGGAGAAGCCGCACCGCTGCCCCGACTGCGGCAAGGGCTTCGGCCACAGCTCGGACTTCAAGCGGCACCGGCGCACGCACACGGGCGAGAAGCCCTTCCGCTGCACGGACTGCGGCCGCGGCTTCGCGCAGCGCTCCAACCTGGCCAAGCACCGGCGCGGCCATACCGGCGAGCGGCCCTTCCCGTGCCCCGAGTGCGGCAAGCGCTTCTCGCAGCGCTCGGTGCTCGTGACGCACCAGCGCACGCACACGGGCGAGCGGCCCTACGCCTGCGCCAACTGCGGCCGCCGCTTCTCGCAGAGCTCGCACCTGCTCACCCACATGAAGACGCACCGCAGCGCGGCGGGCGCGCCCGGCTCGGCGCCAGCGGCCCCCGCGTCTAAGGCCGAGGCTCCCGCCAAGGGGCCGCCGGTCGCGGGCAGCGGGCCCGGGGAGCGCGGCAGCACCCTGCTGGAGTTCGCGGGCGGAACGAGCTTCGGCTCTGAGCCGACGGCCACCTTCGCGGGGCCCTCGGGCGCCTACGAGGAGAGCATCCTGTGATGGCCCGAGGCCGACGGAGGCGCAGCCCGCTGGGCCGCCGGCCCCTTGCTCCTCTGGCCTCGGGGTGCTGAGGGCCCCAGTCCTGGTGCGGTGCCTTCCCCTCAGCCCCCGGTGCACCGCCCCGCCCCCCCGGCCTCGGGCGCCCCTCCTGCCCGGCCCTGGGAAACCGGGTCGCCAAAGCTCGTCCGGCCGTGCAGGGGGCGCGTGGGGAGAGGAGAGCCGCGCGCGGAGGAGGCGAGGGCAGGGGGCGGCCACCCCGACCAAGACTGCGGCATTCCTGGGTCTGTGCTGTGGAGCCACGCGGTAGGGATGTCAGGCGATCTTATTTATTTCACTCGGGTTCCGATTTGGGTGGCCTGGGGGACCGGCGGCCGATGAGTTTGTAAGTGGGTTGTACAGCGAGGGCGGGGAAGCCCTTGCGTCAAGGGGAGGGTGGGGTGGTCGAGGGCGAAGCATCCGGCTCCTCCCGTGGGTTTGGCTGACGACTTCTTCCCATTCCTCAGTGAGAGACTTCAGGGACCTTCTGGTCATTTGAGTGTGTCCGGGAAGTTTTAAGGACTGCGCGGGGCTAGGGGAAGCCTTATGGGTTTCCGGCGGACGATGTTCCTCCCTACCCAGGGGGGACGGAGATGCAACTGGGAAAGCTTTCTTTCTGTCTACTGTGGATATTTATTTCCATTTCTTGTATGGCCTGAAGAATCTGGGAGGAGGAGGAAAAGCCAGAAACCAAATTTGTGGCCCCAGGCGGGTGGGTTGCAGGTGTCCCAGGGTCCTGAGGGAGTTTGAAGCCTTATTCTGGGGGAGGGTCACTCGCTCTCACCCCACTTGAGCACCTAGATCAGCCAGGCAAAATTCTGCCCGGTGGGTTTTGGTCTCCGCCTCCCCTTTGAGTCCTTTGGTACTCTCACCTCTGGCAGCTAGAGGGGCCACACTCAGAGATCCTCAGGGGCCCCTTGCTGGCTGCTGCGGCCATGGCCCAGCCTTCAACTGCCTGGGCCGCCACCAACACCCCCCCCCCCAGAGCAGATGGACACATGGGTCCCTGCCCTCTAAGCCCAGTGCTTGTTTAAATTTAATAACCAATTGTAAAGTGACAGGTCGGCAGCAGGATCATTTCTCACATCCCTATGGGGTTAGGGCCCTATGACGTCTGCAGGTCCCTTTAATGCTGCTTCTGTCATTATTCTATACTAGAAGCAAGTAGTGTTTCTATTTAGAATTCCATGTCACAGGGTGGGCAGTCTGTACAGTGGAAGTCCACCTCTGGGGGTGTGGACTTGAGCCTGTGGCTCAATGACAAGCCAGGCACCCAGCTATGCAAGGCCCGCACCTGGTGGGCATGCCACCCTCCGGGTTGGGCCATTGGGAGCCACTGGGCAGGCAGCTGAAGTATGGCTCACATGAGATCCTTTCCTCCCTTAATGCCTTTTGGGCCAGTGTGAGTGGGGCCAGAAAACAGATTTTAAATTAACTGCATTCCCTCGTAGACCTAGTTCCTTCTGTTTTAGTGTAGACATGGCCTTGGGGCCTGAGAGCCAGCAGCCAGGCTGCTGGGGCTGGGGGCGGGGTAGGAGGCGCAGTAGTTGGTGGGTGGGAAGGGGGCAAGGATGGTGGTAAGAATTCACCTGGCTGGGTGAGGTGGTGGGGTGGGTTGGGGTGCTGAGGAGGGCAAGGGTCCCAGGAGGCATCAGCAATGCTGGGTGATGCCTTCCCTGTCCTCAGTTTCTTTCCTCTCCCTGTGAGACAGGAACCTCAGGGGCCAAGGGCAAGGCAGCAAAGCCCTGTATGGCTGGGGTTTGGCTCCGTGCTCATTCCTCCTTGCACACCCCTCAAAGTGCATATCTTTGGTGCCCCCCGGGCCCCAGCTGCTTCTGCCCTGGCCCGGAGCCATCAGCAGGAGGACCTAGCTTTAATAAAGAGTGGAGAAATGAGCTTTCTGACTGGATTCCATGTTGTTGCCGCTCCTCGATGCCCTCAGGGAGGCTCTGCAAGGTCTCGGGCCTTTTATCTGCAAAAAAAAAAAAAAAAAAAAAAAAAACCACAAAAACTTTTTTTAGGAGTTTCTCCTTTCAGAAACTAGAAATGGCCTGGGAGGAGTCAGCCCAAGATGGGGCTTTGGCTCCTGCCTCCTGTGTCTACCAAGTCTTTCTGGGAGTCCCCAGCGGACCCCCCACACTGCCACATACTCTTTGTAATACACCTATCTTGGGATCTTATTGTGCTTAGGATTGTTTTCTCCAGCCTTCCCTTGGTCAAAGGAGACAGGCCAGGTCCCCTTCCTGGGGGTCCAGACATGCGCTGAGTCCCAGACATTTCCTCAGAGGCCTCAGCCGCTTCGTGGGTTTATCCAGGCTCATCTGCTCTGTGCCAAGGCAAAGGACACCTCCCCAAGACCCCCAAACTCCTTCCTTTCTACTGATTTATTGACTACCTTCTTCTCACCAGATGATGCCCCATAACCAGATCTGACTTCCCATTCTTTGCCCGTGGATTTGGAAAAGTATGAACTACGAAGTAAATTGTCTTTCAGATGTGATTTGGAGGCATCAGAACAGAACCCAGTGTTTCAGTTAAAAAAAAAAAAAAGGCTTTGAGTGGCAGATGGATGTTAAGACCTAGTTAAAAATTGATGGCCTTGAGGATCTTAAAATCTATTCAGAAAAGGCCAATTATTCCCGGATAGAGCTTACAGATGTCTGGCCAAATTTTTGTTTGTTTGTTTCGGGGAGGGCGGGGGACCCAATCCTGATGGTCATAGAAAAAAGAAAGTAGACAGCCCTTCTGGTTTTGAGAGGACTTCCAAATTTTTGGAGTCCCTGACTGATTCCCCAAGTGTCAATTTAGCATCTTCTATCATTGCCAAGGAGTAGAAGCCCGCAGGAGATGTGACCCATGCAAGGTGGTACTTTGAGAGTCTTGAGGCTCTGAGCACCCCTCTGGCCTCCCTCCACCTTTGTTATTTTCCTGTTTCCCTCTTGCTTGCATTTCCCCAACCTCCTTCCTTGCTCCTGACCCTTTCACTTGATCTCTTCAGACATCTCCTTCTAACTTTATTTTTTATTTCTCTAATTGGCTACATATGGAATAAAGTATTTTGAAATTTTTGGTTATATTTATTAAATAAAGCTTTATGATCCTTGTTCATTATTTAATTTTTTCCTGATTATAAAATACATGCTAGTTGTAAAAATCCCAGCAGTACAACAAAATGTGTTACGTGCACACTTATATCCTATAGGGTCACACCACATCCAGCCACTGGGAACCAGAGCAGTTTCAGGAGGCGTGGGGGCACATTTCTTCCATGGAACAGATGTTTCACCGCTGGGGACATACTTTACATGTTCCCTTGCAACTTGCTTTTTTCATCTAACATATTAGGACATACTTTCCTACTGGACAGAACTACCTCACTCATTTTAACTGCCCCAGCATAGCATTTCATTTTGTGGACGTACCCATAATTGATGTCACCTCTTCTGCAACAATGGGCATATCTGGTTGTTCCCAGCATCTCACAATTACAAACAATGCTGCAATGTCGATTCTTGTACATATTTCTGTGCAGTTATGTAGATTTTTAGTTATTTGTTTAGAAAAAGAACTAGAGGTGATGTTGCCATATAGCTAAATTGTCACTGAGAAAGGCTAACTCCAGTCCAACCGCGGATTCTCCCAGCATGGTGAGGAAGTGCTCGTGGTCCATGGCCTCGCCAACAGGGGGCATCAACAATCATTTTAATCTTGCTTTGTTCTTAATTTTACAGAGGTGAATGGCTTGCCTTTTTCTGTTTCTTTCAAACATGTAAATAGGTTATTTAAAAACAACAACAACAACAATTCATGGCCTTGGCTGAGGTATTTCTGGGGCTGTGGCTATGATATATCCCCACCCAGTCCAAGTTAGTAGCTTCTTCCATATTTTCTGGTAAGATAAGATATCTCAGGGTTACCTTGAAAATTTCCTACCCCCAACCTGTAATCAGCCAATTCTCCAAGGACCCAGGATTCCTTTAGTGGGAAATGATATTTAGGGACCACAATTTGGTGCCTGGGTGCTCAATCCTATTAGGTTGGTTTTTTTCCCCCCCTAAGGAAAAAATAATTTTCCAGCTAGAATTCTATATCCAGCCAAGCTATTCTAGTTATGAAGACAAGTGATATTTTTAGATCTGCAATAATTCAGAAAATTTACCATCCTTTAACCATTTATAGGCGACATGTCACACAACGAAAGAATCGACCAAGAAAGAGGAAGATTTGAGATGTAGGAAATAGTGGAGCCAGTCCAGGAGAAAGCTGTCTGGGAAAACAACTATACGTCAGTCCAATTGGAGCATGAGGATGGGGAGCTTCAGGAATTAGGTCTCTGTGGAATGGGGGAATCCAGCAGAGTTGAAAATATGCCTGAGAGGCTGGACATGGAAGAGCAGAGCTGTGGTGGAAGGAGGACCTGAAGATCAAAAGGGACCTCAGCTGGGAAGGCCAGCATGGTGCATCTCAGGGCCATGAAGTAAACTCTTTTCGGACAAGAACTGGGTTGGGGGGGAACCAGGATCTTGTTTCCACCTTGAGACACAGACTGAATGCGGACGCCCCTTACCATAACCGGCAGACACAGTGGCCACTGGGAGGCTCTGTGCAGTTTTTGCTTTGTATTTTTTTTTTATAAGTTATGTCTTTAATTTTATCTGACTAGCCTGAACATATTTATTTAGGTTCTTGCCGTATTGTTCCATAAGCTTAATTTGTATCATGCTTTGGTAAATTTGTTGACTGCCCTTCTTGGCATTAGATCTCTTCATATTTTGGAAACTTACTTTGCAAGCAGGCTCATGTTGAGTAGGAGGGTTTTTCTTTGTTTCTCTGGGTCATGTTTGGGTTTCATTCTCTCTCTCCCCCTGTCCAGAAGTCCAGCAGTTGTTGGTTACCTCCATGGTAACTGAGAAATGTGGTAACAGTGCTCTGAGGTTGCTGCTCCAGGAGGACACCAGGCACACTGCGGCCCAGGGAAGGAGGCCTCCTGGTCAGGAAGCTGACTCTCACTCAGTCCCCTTAGCCCACCTCCCTAGGTCCTCAGCTCCCTGTAATCCACAGTCCCCAGCAGCAGGTGGGCAGCCCTCGTTCCCAGCTCTGTTTCACCCTGTGAACCGGCCTCAGGTCCTCTTCTCACCAGAAGCCTTTACATCGTCCTTTCCCCCCAGAGCTGAGCCCCCAGCACCTCCTGCTCACTTCCAAACCTAGAGCCCACGAGGCCTTTTCTCTCACCACTCACATTGCTTCTGCTCATTTTTGATCCAAAGAGATACTCACTTTGCTTTTGGATCCTGGCCCTATCTTTTTAATTATCTATTAACAACTTTTATCTTTCATTGCCATGTGATCGAAACAAGGAGTATGTTGGATGCAACCTTGATGTGCTCTCTCACCCAGATTGATATCACTTTTATTACTTCCGTTTAACTTTGTTCTCTTTGCCCTCCCTAGTTGTCCACTCTGTATCCATTCTCCCCTTCCTTTGCTCTAAGAAAATCTCTGTATCGCTGGGGGTGCCAATGTGCCCCAGTGACATTTCCCAGCCTCCTCTGTAAATAGAAATGGCCAATTGAATGTAAGGAAAAGATAATTATGTGGGGGCTTCCAGGAAAGTTCTTTAAAAGGGCCTGATTCAGTTGGGAGGTATATCTTTTTGCCCTTTGATCTTTCTTTTCTTGTACCTGGAATGCAGACGTGATGGGCAGAGGTCAGCTGCCATCTTGAGACAAGTCACTTCAAGGATGGAAGCCACATGCTGAGAATGGCTGAGCAGAGAAGCAACAAGAACCTGGGTTCCCCAAGAGCATGACCAAGGTGGGCTGGTCACTGGAGACGTAACCAAGGTCCTGCCCCAGGAATTATCCAGTTAGGATGACCAACATCTGCTGCTGTCAGAAGCAATTTCTCAATAGACCCTCTGTATTTGCCTCCTTCCTTGAAGATTCAAAGTCCCAGGTAGAAGCATGTGATTGGCTGGGCTTGGGTCAGGGGCACATTTCCCAGCTGCTAGGAGGTTAAGAATACCTGGCCTCTTTGGCATCTATAGGGGGACATAGGCACTGCCTCCCACTAAGACCCACACAGAGGATTCCTCCCTGGAGAGTCAGAAACCGTGGGTAACATCACCTGTACCCCTGTAGTAACAGATACATAGGGAAATCTCCAGCTGGAAATCCCTCCTCTTGGTGAGGTAAGCTGCGGCTCATTTCTATTCACTCCCAGTGTGGATGTGGAAGAGAACACAGGGATAGTCTCGGGGCGTGGACGGCATCCTGCCTTTCCAGGCTTTTCTTAATTCTCCGTTATCCAGGCTCTCTCTCTCTCTCTCCCCAAATCCGGGGGAAGCTCCTTTCTTTGATCCTGGTTCGAGGCTTTCTGGGCTTTAGCTCCACCTCATGTTGGCACTTCTTCCAGCACCCATCCCAGACCTAGCCCTTTACAACATCCGATGCACATAGGCCCGGCTGTAGTGTTCCTTCAAGGACCTCCTTTCCAAATGATCAGCCCACTCTTAAGAGGGTCTGGGCCAGGTGCAAGTCAATTGAGAACAGTCCTAGGACCAGCCGTACCTTCCTGAATCACTATGCCGAGATGCTGATTCTCATGTCCTGTCACCCTGTAGGATTTCTTTCCAGGCAGAGATGGCAACATGCAGGACAGGTGACAAAAATGTGAACTTGCTTAATTTCCACTTGTCATTCATGGAGCTGGTGGCTGAGCATTGGACGGCCTGCAAAAAACCCAATGTTTTTGCTAGCACAATACTCAAAGCATCAGGAAGATGCACCCTCCTTTCCTCCGTCTGCCAAAACTTACACAAGTGCATCTAACTGGAAGGGCCTGATTTGAGTCCAGAACCCTAGCAGCAGGGAAGGCTGGGAAGTGCAGGAGTTAGCATTCCAGCGGGCACACCTGGAAGGACATGAGAATGGGTACACATGCCCACTCACCAGAGGACCCAAGGGAACCCCCCAGGAAGCCACTTGTTGACACCAGGATTTGGGAGGTGTCAGCGCCTGGTCCCGATGTTGTCCTTTGTCAGCCAGGCACAGCTCCCAGACGCAGCTACCTGCCAAAGGCCAACAGACACTGTGATTTCCACGCACAGAAGGGGGCAACCAGATGGCTCTGGTCTGTTTTTGTGAATCATCTCAGGAGACTATGGACGTGCGTCATTCCAGTATCTTCTGGAAGTGTCATCAGAGCATTAAGGAACCTTAAATGAAAGGGGTCAGAACACATCTGTCCTTGTCCCATTGGACATTATTGACCGCTTCACCTAGAGGCCGTTCCTAATGCTCTGGATCCCCCCCACCCCCGTAGAATCCCATGCAGATTCTTTTTCTTTTTCTTTTTTATTGAGATGAAATATACGTGGCATAAAACTAACCATTTTCAAGAGTACGGTTGAGTGGTATGTGGCACATTTACAGTGTTGTATTATCACCACCCCTGTCAAGTTCCCAAACATTTCCATCACTCCATTAAGTAGTCACTCCTGATTCTCCTTCCCCCGAGCCCCAGCCATGTCTGAAGCTAGTGAGCCCCATGCTAGTAGACTCTTTAGTTAAGACAATAATTTTCCATTTTTGGCTTCAGCTCATTTGAGCTGGATTTCTGTACTTGCACCGGAAAGAGTCCTAAATGGCAAAGCAGCCCTCAGGTTCCAGCGTAAACATCTGTTTGTCAGACAGGTCTTCTGCTCCCCTAATTTAATTTAAATTGCTCTGTTCCACCGTCTACTGGCAATGCGCGGTTCTCGCCTTCCTAATTCTTAGCACAAATTGCAGTATTACATGTGTTACTGGTTTAATGGCTGTCTCCTCCATGGGCCAGTACGATCCACCAAGGTAGGGACAGTTTGTTTTGTTCTCTTCCTCTGACTAGCACAGTGCTATAAAAACAATCTGTGCAAAAAACACGCTCGGGGTGGGGGGGGGATGGAGGGGAACAGGTGACGTCTAGAGCTAAAGACATCAGGTCTGGAGTGGTCCCTAGCTAGTGACAACTCGCTATTGAGTTGGGGAGCCTCTCTGCCCACCTGAAACTTCCAAAGCCCCATACCTCCTCAGCCCCAAAGAAACCAACCCAGACTACCTTTATAGAAA